TTAAGTTAATCGGAATCATGTAGTTAATTTCAGTTAAAACATGAATTAGTTTGCGAATCAAGTATTAGGACATGATGTGAATTAAAACAAGGTTAGTTAAGGTTAAATTGTTTAATTTTTAGAAATATGGTTTAGTAATCAAGTTTTTTTTTTCTCCAATTTTCAGTATTTGTAAATAATTAATTTCAATAAGTTTAAGTCATACTAACAATATGAATTTTAATCCAACTATGGGATAATTAGTTTTTTTTTATTTTTTATTTTTGACAATTCCATGTTGTTTGTAATTATAATTTTAGTAATATTACTTTCCATTAATATTTGTTTTAAATTAGTAATTAATATGTTATTTTTAAGTATGTAGAGATTGACTTCATAATTATAGACAAACTTAGTAATAATAAAGATGTAGTCATTAAAGGGTATTCATAAAATAAGGGAGGATCTCGCTAAAAAATAAATAAATATAAATAATACAAAAAATTGCAGTCCTCCAATCTTTTTTTTAATATAAGAAAATACCTAGATTCCGAGATGGGCGATTTAGTAAAATTCACAGTCCTACATAATAGTATCATAACGCGTAGTATTTTGGCGCATATTTAATAAGGTTATTTTCTTAAATACGGGTGTACATTTATGTAACCCAAATCACGATCTTGACGAAGTCAAAATGCGTCAACAAATCACGTGTGCACTGGTTGTGGCGTGGTTCGAGATGCGTTTTCACGACGTTGCAATTTTGTATAAAATAAATAATGATAAAAGCGGTTTTAAAAGTTAAATTTGCATATAAGTTCTTAATTGTTTAAAAATCAGATAAATGAGCCAAATATGACAATTGAGCGACCGTGCTAAAACTACGGAATTCGGGAATGCCTAATACCTTCTCCCGGGTTAACAGAATTCCTTATCCGGATTTCTGGTTCGCGGACTGTAATACAGAGTCATTCTTTTCCTCGATTCGGGATTAAAATTGGTGACTTGGGACACCCTAAATCTCCCAAGTGGCGACTCTGAAATAAATAAATAAATTCCGTTTCGATCGTCCTTTAATTGGAAAAAACTCCCTTCACCCTCGCGGGGCGGAAAAAGGAGGTGTGACAAGTGTGAATTGGAAATGGAGGGAAATAAAATGGAGGGAAAATAAAAATTTGAAGAAATGAACTTTTGTCTTGCACTTTGTCCCTCATTGGTGAGGGACAATCACATTTATGTGCTTATATATAGATTCACTTCTTAAAACTCTTAAAAGGAGTTGAAGAGAATGAACCCTCGCGCCGTCGTCGTCGCTCGCTCGGCTCGGCTTCGGCTTCGGCTTCGGAAAATGATCGATAAGATTATTTTTTGGACAAAATTTATTTAATTATTTAATAATTAATTAAATGCCAAATCACTGCTGACAATACGCCAGAACACTGCTGAAAGTTCAGAGGGCCTCGCTGGCCGCGGTTCTGCCGTGGCATGCCGCGTATTTTCTGAAAAGGCATCTTTCCAGACACCTCTTCTGATATTTGCCTATAAATTCTGAGGCAAGGCTGCATCTTCCAGATACGAAAAAACACTCTAGAACTTCTTTCTTTCTGAATATACTGCATCCTAATTCGCAGTCTCTCTCTCTCAAATTCGTAAGTGTGATTTTGCTCCGTTCTTTGAGTTCGTTGGTATCCTGCAGTTTGTATTGCCACTGTTGCAGGAAGGTTTATTCCGTTTTATCCTGGGAGGATTTAATCCATTACCTTGGCAACGTGTGAGGGGGTTAAAATTCCTTAAGGACGCATAAGAAAATTGTGGACTCAGAATATTTCTGATTTTTTACTATTTTATACATTTCTTTATTCTTCTAACAGTTTTCTGATTTTTGTTTTAACACAGTAACGATCACATCCTTTGGAGCTTAAACTAAAAATAGCCAATAAATACATGATATATGAATAATCTATGTGTAAAATGTGTATAATTATGTACTGACTGGAAAACAAATAGTAAATACGGTTGGCTATTCGTTATAAAGATCCCAATAAGAAATTGGCAAACGAAGTACTAATTGACTTAGCATAGTACATTTTCTGCTGGATACAATAAAATACTACATACATCATAAATTTCAGCACAATAATTATCAGAAATATACATTTATAAGTTTAATCAAGAATAAACAGGGAAATAAAATTATAACACTCAATTCATAATTGATATATACAAGCAAAACAAGTGGGAAAGAACAGCTTAAATAAAGAAAGAAAAAGAGAAAAAAGATTTATAAAATTAACAATAAACATACATAAAATTAAGTCATCATCTGTTGCGTGGACTCTCTAAAATGATGTCATATCCGTGTCGGATCCTCAAAAATACATTATTTTTAGAGGATCTGACATGCACCCGACAATATTTTCAGAAAGCTCGAGCAATATTGGTGATCATACATGCCTCCAAGGTCTTTCAGCAAGATTTACACAGTCTTTGTGCCTAAAACAATCAACCAAATGATCAATTGTCATTCCTGCTGCTTGCATAAATGAATACACAATCACCGGCCCAACAAATCGAAATCCTCTCTTAAGCAAATCTTTGCTAATTGTTTCTGCTTTTGGAGTTCTTAATGGTACATTTCTTGGATATCTGAATCTATTAATTATAGGTTTGTAATTCACATAGTTCCACATGTAGCTGCTGAATGATCCAAATTCTCTCACAATCTGCATGTTTTAATTGATTAATGAGAAAACGTAATTAAGTAACCAAATTTATAAAATTTGATGGAAAAATAAATTGTTGCTCGGATTCTTCAGAAATATTGTCATGTGTATCAGATCTTCCAAAAATAATGTATTTTTGGAAGATCCTATATATGTGCGACATCAGTTTTGAAGAGTCCGAGTAAGAGTTGGACTTGCCTTGACTATGCATTTGGCATTGTCAACTATGCATCTAACTCTACTTTCTGCTAAATTGAGTTCTGTATTAGATATTAGTTCTTCAATTTCTCGCTCTCCCATTTTGGCCACATGGTTTGCATTAAATCCAGCGAAAGCTTCTCTGTATTTCCACATTAAAAAAAAAGTATTTAATTTCAATACACGGAAAATATAATTTTTTATTATCACTTAAAAAGATAACTAGCTAATTATATGTAATAAGTGGAACTAGTAACATAAAAAGAAAACAGGCAACTTGCTACATAGTAAATTACATTGATAATGAAATAATTATTTCTACTTATAGTGTATATAAATTAAATAAAAAATACATTCTTGAAATGTTCTTTATGTAAATAAGAAAATACATTCTTAAAATGTTCTTCAAAATTAAGGTTTCATAAAACAGAGAATTTATGTACCTTATTTGTTCTCTTCTCTTCAATATTTCAGTCCAATTGAAATCCATAAGCATTCCACATAACGCAAGAAGCTCGAATAATTGACTGCTCAATTTATTTATTTATCTGTTAATAACTTATTGTATTAAAATTAGAACTATAAAATCACAACTAATTACTTACTGGTCGTCATAAACAGGAACTCCCCAACAATCATCATGGAACTGGACGTAAACCTTATCTGCATGTAACAAATTCAAATAAATTAGTGGAATCAGCCATTGATGCTTGTAACAGGGTAGACCACTTATATCACGCTCCTTTGGGCTTGGGGTACCATGTACGACTCTTCCCCGAACCTTGCCTGAACGCAAAATGCTTCGTCCAACAAATGTATATTTCACTATTAGCTAGAAACACACGTTTTTCTAACAAACGTTTTCGTCGAAATTCTTTTGACAAGTACACAGGGGCAGGGCCACAGTGTTAGATCCCGATTCGGCCGAACACAACAATTTTTCTTCGTGCTTTATATTTATCTTAAAAAATTTATTGAATAAGTATAAATATATATTTAGAACCCAGCAACTTAAAAGGACTACAACATCGAACTCATAAGCTTCAAATCATTGCTCTGCCTCTGCAAGTACATTTTTTTTATGCAAGTCCGTGACAAAAATGCGTGTTTCTAGTAGTTATTTTAAAACTTTTTAACTTTATTTATGTAGTCAAGTTACCTTCATATTTAACAATGCATTGCAAAATTTTGTGGACCATATTATATTTAACCACCACTGATTAAATTTAAAAATTATGAAGCATTAAAATTGGCATTATTTTGGCCCAGAGTTGCTAGGATTTTAGTAATATAAAAGTGTTAATGACAATGCATTGATAAGATAATTAAAATAATTCTACTACCAAATACCTGCTACTAAAGTAAGATACTCATAATTGCAATCCTTCTTTTAGTAAGTTTTAACTCTTATCTTATCATTTTCTTCGTCTTATCTGCGTATAAGCAGCGAATATATTCCTATAATTAGGTACCTTCTCAATTCATAAGTCAACTTCTCTTAGAAGAATAAATCATTAAGACATAGTATTTAATTTAATTTATACACTACAAAATTTTGAAGAGCATAAAGTAATTTGGTTTCTACATTATAAAGAAATATTTATAGTATCCGATGACCAAAAGATATCTATATTTTAGTGACGAAGCCATGAATTTCACTAAGAGTGTTCAAGATCTAATATACGTATATAAAATTAATTTTTGATTTATGTATGCACTATAATTTTTTATTTTTACAATATAATTTTCCAATGACGGATGTTCAACTAATTAACCATCCTTCATTAAATGTGATTACGCCACTGCTATTAAGTTGGATTTGTAATATTGAAAGTCACACGGATTGCTTGCTAAAGTTGACTTGATAGTGTAATTTTTTTATAATATAAGTGAATATTAGTTAAACTCTTAAAATATTAGTTTGATCTTCAAGTTATTACTTTAACTGAGAAAAATGCCTTACAAAATTACTGATTATAAGCCAAAATTGAAAAGACTTTCCTAGCAGCAACCAATATTAAGATCAAGAATACAAACAACTACTCCATTCCTTTCAATTATATATGATACTCTTTTTATTTTGATACATTCCAAAAATAAAGTGTTTGACACCGTTTTATTTCTATACAACTTTCACAACTTTCAAGAATTTAACTTTATTTCATTGTTCGTACTTTAACTTCGTTACAACGTTCGATATCTTTTCAACCACTACTTTTTTATTATCTTCCATCATCGCTAATAGATTGTTTGGAGGGTTGTTACGTATCATTTCATAATGTATCGTATAGTATTCTATTATATAATATCGTTTTGATATATATAATGTTGAGATAAGTTGTATTGTTTGTCGTTGTTTCATGAAACACCAAAAATATGAAGAATAAACTTGTAATGTTATAAAGAAAAAGTAAAATACGAGGTAGAATTATTATATAAAAAAATAGGGTAAAAGATAAATTAGCATTATCTAATAATAAGGAAGAGCAAGATGAGACAAAAAAATTAAGAAAACGATGCGACCATACCAAATCGGTCATTCTATAAAATGACACTTTTCGTCGTTAACGATACGCTATAGTAAAATTTAAGTAGCAATCAAAACAAATATTATATTTAAATCAATAATAGGATACTATACAACAAGTAACAATCATCCAAACAAATTGTAATATGTTACTTCATCTATTTCATTTGATGTGACACTATTTTAGTCTGTCTCCATACAAACAAACATATTTAAACAGTAGCAATATTTCAAGAAAGGTAATAAAAAATAGTGGAAATGATAGTTGAATTAACTTACCACTACTACTAGTTATCCAATTGCACCTTCTCATGAGCTCTTCTTCACTAGGATTATTACGAGTCGGACTAACTGCTCGAACCACATTTTTCATGGCCGGAATCTCTCTTTTTTCTGACGACGACGACGCCGCGATTAATCGGAGTGCTAATGAGATTTTCTGATCCAATGGAGTGATTGAAGAAGAATCTGTAAGTGAAGAATCATTTGAAGTTTGTGATAGAGATAAAGAAAGTGAAGAAAGTGAAAGAGATGAGCCTGTTTTATGTAACCCTATAGGGTATATTTTCTTCCAATGTTTAGATAATAAGACGTTTGTAGTATTGCTTCTTGTCTTCTCTTTTTCTCTATGTTTCTCTAATGCATGTCTTCTCACATTTTGCTTAGACGACATTTTTCAAAAAGAAGAAGAAGAAAATAAATTATAAGGTTGTGGTTTTTGTTTTAGTTTGGTATAAGGTTTAAGATGATTGAAATATATAAAGATTGGACTTTGAATTGATGGGATATGAAAATAGAATATTAAAGGAGAAGTTGGTAGAATGTGAATCTCATAATGGAGAACCTTTTTATACTTATAATTGAAGCAAATTTGATGAAAATAGCATATGGATTGTAAAATATTACTTGTTGAAAAAAAATGAAAGTTTTGAGTTTTAATGTGTTGGTAAAGTATTGTCTTTCGAGAAGCTCAAGATTTTACCGAAAATGTTAAAGTTTTGAGAAAGTTTTGCATGGCATTAGGTTAAGTACTAGATTAATAGAAATTTACGGTCTTCTGTATTTGCATTAAAGTTTGATTAATCTGTATTTTCTCGCGTAAGGTCCATTAAGAAAAAGCTCTTCTTAACTATCGGGATTTCTTTTATTCTCATGGTTCGAACCCGAGACATTTAATTAATGGCAAAGGAATTATTGACTTACCATAACTTCGACTTTAATGTCAGTGACCAGGAAAAATAAAGCTAATTTGACTGGTGGATCCATATACCATATTAATCATGTTTAATTTTCAACATCCTATGATTAATTATAGATTATATATTTGAGTTAGTAAAAAATAGAATTGCCTTCTCTATCGGTACTGTCAACTAATTTTAAGAAATGTAACATTAAACAACCAAAAATATTTTAAAGAAAATTTATGAGCGCTAAAGAGTGAGTATAAAGCTTGAAAGCATAAAATATATTATTTTAATTTAACCAAGCTTTTAGTTCAAATGTTTACTTCAATTAAAGTGTAATGGGTCACCTTTATTAGCTAGACTTAATACTCACTCTTTAGCCCTTTTAAGTCTAGAGGAGAAACCTATATTGACTGCATAGATGATGATATCTCATCCTTCCTTTCTTTTTGTTTTCAAATTTTGTTATAAAATTTAAGTTTTAAAGATATTTATATAATTATGCCATTTAAAATGTAATTGCAATTTACTTTATTTAATAACATTGGCCGATAACCTAAAATACATAATGATTAACTCTGCAATAAGTTAAATTATATTGATACTATTTGTGATGATCTTTTCACTTGATTTACAAATCAATTCTGTGTTCCGAGGCATTAAAAATATCCTTTTATCTCACTTCGATTTGCGTGCGCGATCCGGGCGTATATCCGGAACGCTTTTATGTGAAAATTTGATAAAAATACTAATTTTGCCTTTAAAATTGAATATAGGTTGACTTCGGTCAATATTTTGGATAAACGGACCCAGACCTGTAATTTGACGGTCCCAGAGGGTCCGTAGAAAAATATCGGACTTGTGTGTATGCCCGAAATTGAATTCCGAGGTCCCAAGCCCAAGAAATGAATTTTTGAAGAAAATTGTTTAACTGAAATTATAAGAGTTTTTGGAAACTTAAAAGTATTTAAATTTGATGGTATCGAGCCCGTATTTTGATTCCGCAACCCGGTACAGGTACTATATGGTATTTAAGTTGTGCCTGTAAAATTGGGTAAGAAACGGACTTCATATGACGTGAATCGGACCCTCGGTTATGAAATTTGAAACTTAAGAGTTCTTGAAATTTTTCTTTGATTTTGATGCTAAACTTAAAGTTCTAGGTGTTATTGTTTTTTAGGGTTGTGTGTATGTTTGGTTTGGAGCCCCGAGGGCTCGGGTGAGTTTCGGATAGGCCACGAGATGTTTTTACACTTAGAAAAGTTGCAGGTTTTGCTGCTTCAGGTGCACAGACATTTTGTGCTTCGCGGTCGCGAAGCTATTCTCGTGATCGTGAAAGGGAACTGGGTTGGGGGTAGAATTTGTTCTATACAAACGCGAAGACAGGGACGCGAACGCGGAGCACTGGGGGGCTGCTCTACGCGAACGCGACCCATGTTCCGCAAACGCGTATAGTAAATTGGAGGTGGGCTGGGAGGTTGTCATTTCTTCTACGCGAATGCGTACGCCGGTCCGCGAACGCGAAAGTGAGGGGGGCTTAGCCTTCGCGAACGTGTAGGAGAACTCGTGATCGCGTAAGTCCTCAACAGGCAGCTCTTCGCGAACGCGGCAGGCCCATCGCGAACGCGATGAAGGCCTGTCCAGTCTTTTAAAATAGTAGCAAAAACGGGCAGAACCCATTTTTATCATATTTTCGAACTACCAAGACCTAAAGACGATTTTCTTCACACAAGTTATCCCCAAAGTGTTGGTAATCAATTTTAAACTCTACTCTTTCAATTACCCAATGTTTTTCATCAGTTTTTAATCAAAATCAAGAATTTTTATGGTAGAAATTGGGAATTTGGGTAGAGTTAGGGCTTGTTGTTGATTCCCTTGCTGGGATGTTGTTGTTGCTATTGTTTGGGTGAAGAAAGAGAGATAAAGCACGAAGGGCAATGCCGTGCACATTCATATTTATGCATATGGTGAGGAAAGAGTGATAAAACACGAAGGGTGATGCCGTGTACATTTTCATTAATATTGATGCATATGGTAAGGAAGAGAGATAAAACACGAAGGGTAATGCCATGCACATTTCTGATATTCACATGGTGAGGAAGAGATAAAACACGAAGGGTGATGCCGTACACATTTTCGTTACTTGATTGCATTGGTGAGGATTGAGAGTAAAAGCACAAAATGTGATGTCGTGCACCTATTGCCTGTTTGATATGGTTCCTTGCTGTTTTCGATCCAATTACCTTAATTGTCTTATTCCACTATTACTGTGATTCTTTACGTTGGTATTTCCCCCATAGCATGTTACCCCTCCCCCGTTACTTTTGAATTATTTCTATTACTGTTATTCTGCTAGATACTGTTTAACTGCAGGTTATTTGTTTTTTGTGTCCTAGCCTCGTCACTGCTTCGTCGAGGTTAGGCTCGTCACTTACTCAGTACATGAGGTCGATTGTACTGATACTACACTCTGCACTCTTTTGTGCAGATCCCGATAGTGAAGCATACAGACCTTAGCTAGGGGTTGCTGCCTCTAGTCCATGAGAGACCCGATGTAGTCCTGCAGGCGTCCGTAGGCCTTGACGTCCCCTTCCTATCTAGTTTCTTTCTGTTCTTTTCTATTTTAGAGACAGAGATATACTTTCTTGTTGAGACCCTATTTGTAGTTTTTCTTAGATAGTCCGTGAGATTGTGACACCAGTTCTGTGCGGTTTATGTTTATGGATTTGTATTGGTATTAGCTTAATTGCTAAATTTTGTTCTTTCGCATTATTATTTCCGTTGTTTATAATATGTTAACTTGCAATTGTTAGGAGATTAAAAATGAAAATACTAAATTAATTGGAATAGTTGGCTTACCTAGCTCTCACTAGTAGGCGCCATCACGAGTCCCGAGTGTGAAAAATTCGGATCGTGACACTATTACAATATTATCAATGTTATAAATTAAATTATTTATTGACATCTCATCTATTTTTGTCTCATTTATATACACTAGCTACTACATACGTGTATGTGCTATCTTTTTGGAAAATGATGTTCCTTTTGTGAGAAATTCTCTTACATTGAGATTAGTAAAAGCAAAGTGTTGTCCACTTTGTAACTAAATGAGAGCTTTGCTAAATGTCAAATTAATTATTATGTTACAATTTATTCCATTCATACCAAAATGAATGCACTACTATTTCTATTTTGAGAATAAAAAATACAATCTTTTTTTGCTTAGGATTTTTTCAAAACTTATTTTAAACTGTAACAAAGTTAACATTTATAATATTTTTACTTTGTTTCTAAATATGCACTTAATTTTTGTTACACTAAAATTAAGAAATAAGTGTTCGAATTCACATTAAAACAAAATGTATTAAACATAGATATTTCGAACCGAAATGATTCTTTTTGAACATGAAGGAATAGTGTTTTCTTGAGATTTTATTCCTCCATGAACTTGTAAACAACTATGGACTCATTTGGTACGAGAGATAAAGAATAATTAATTTCGAGACTAAATTTAAGAAGAATTTATCTTATGTTTAATTGATAGAAAAATATGATATAATTAATATTGGAATTAGTTATCCCGAAATTATAATATTATTTTATTCCCATAAAAAGATGGATAACTTCTTTCCCAGCAAACGACTCCTAAAGTATACTTCTAATTGCCGACTTTTCAAACTGCTTCTACATTCAAGAAAATAATTAAAAAAGAAAAACAAATTCTACGAATACGACATCGTTTTCATTGTTTCTTTCACACAGCCAATAATTGTACTTTTGATTATATCTCTAAAACCCTAAACCCTGTAAATCTCCCATTTTCATTTCCCCTAATGCTTCGATTAATCCTCAAATGTCCCCTTAAACCTCAATTACCCTACTCCATCCTGCTCCTTAAATCCTCTTTCTCCGCCGCCAGCCTCGCCGTCGACCACCCTGAACCACCACCAACCACCACCACCAAAATTGCATTTTCAAACATCCTCACTTTTTTTCAAACTTATTGCACTAAAGGCTCTGCAAAGCTTTTAAAAGCCGACCCATGTTATAAAAATTTAATCTTTGAGCTGAATGAATTAGAAATAGAAGACATTGTTGAGAAACTGAGTGTTGAGAATTCCGATTCTGCCCTTGAGTTCTTTTTCTTGTTGAGAAATGATTATGGGTTTAAGCATTCGAGAGTGTCACACGTTATTGTTGCTCATGTTTTGGCTAAAAAACAGCGGTTTAGAGCTTTGAAGTTTCATTTGCAAAATTTGGTTCAAGAAGAAGGTAAATTTGGTTCATTGCCATGTCATTGAAGATTTTTTTTTTAATAAATGTAATGTAAGAAGTTACTCGCTCTGTCCCAATTTAGGTGATGTTGTTTGAGTGATCAATGTTAAGAAAGAAAGTGAAACTGGTGTAAAATAAGTCATAGATAATTTTGTGGCTATTATCATCTCATTAAAGCCTTAGTAGACAAAGTTACCCAGTTCTTGCGCTGGTGGGAGGTAGCAAGTATCTCGTGTAATTAGTCGAGATGAGCGCAAACTGTCCCGGATATCACACCACTATTATTAAAAAAATCATCTCATTAAGGGTAACATAGCAATTTAAAAGCTAAAATGTTTCTAATATTTAAGTAATTACTCCCTCCGTCCCATTTTCTGTGATGTTGTGTGATTGAGCACAAAGCTTAAAAAAGAAAGAAAGACTTCTGAAACTTGTGATTTAAATAGATATTTGTATGATTATTAATAATCTCATTAAAGGTAAGTTAGGAATTTTGAAGTTAATTTTTAAGCACCCATGGGTGTGGCCTAGTGGTCAATGAAGTGAGTGAGAACCATGAGGTCTCATGTTCAAGCAGAGGCAAAAAACTTAGGTGATTTCTTTCCCATTTATCCAAGCTTTGGTGGATAGAATTACCTGGTACCTGTTACTGGTGTCAGGTATCCCATGCAATTAGTTGAGGCACGCGCAAGTTGACTCGGACACATAGTTATCAAAAAAAAAAAAAAAAAATTAAGCA